TCCATGCTGGGGAGAAACCAGAATTCATGCTTCTAGTAGAGCTTGATGGGTGAGTAAAAGAGGGGGTGCACCTGTGCCCCAGCAGGCTTAGAACTACTCTCTGTAACTCACCACACAGGCATGGGGAGAGGGAGGTTGGGTTTTGTCTGGTAGCTGTGATGAGCAGGCAGTGACAGCTCATCTCCAGCTAGACCAGTCCCATGCGCTGTTCCAGCCTGAAACCCCAGCCTGGGCATAAGGTAGACCTGTAGGAACTCCTAAAGTGAGCACTCCTCATAGACTCTAGGTGCTACAGTAATACACATCAGAAGGCCCTATTGGGCCAGACACCCCACACTCTCTCCACACCCATTACCTCCACAAGACAGCTTCCAGTCTAGCTAGACTGGGAATTAATGGAACTTGCCCAGGGGCAGGACCTGGAAGAGAATCCAGCTGCCTGGTCTCCTTGTCCCTGCATCTCATCGCACCAGCATAATGGTGTTGCATGTAGAATAGTACTATTGTAAAAGCAGATAACAGAGCAATAACACTGCTATTGCTACAAGCAGATCCACAAGGCCTAGTTCACGCTTACTTATCTTTCCCATACTTATTGTCAAAGGAACTACAGCAAGGTAAAAGGTCCTGGTTTACTCAGCTGTGCACTCAGAGTACATTCATTCCAGGGAATGCCTCTCAGCCGAGCAGGGCCTGTATCAGACATGGGGTAGAAGAGCACTGGAAGGGTTGTGAAGAGCAGTTGCAGCTGTGCTGAAAGGCAGAGAGATTTACAGACCACACCAGCCATAACCGAGAAACTAAAGCTCATGAGGGGGAGCTTATTCATGCCTCACTGCAGGAAAAGGCTATAGGATTTGAACCCCTGTGAAACAGTGCAGGCTTGCAAGGCTGAACTGACTTTCTTAAAATGACTGTCTCAGTAACACAGGGCTCATGGGTAGAGACCCCTTCAGTACTTGTCCTGTGAGAGCAGGGGTGGCTGGTGACCTAAACATTTGCAAGGGCAAAAACCTTCTGTAAGTGGAGGCATGAGAAGGATCAGATAAGTTGTAAGTGTGTCAGGTGCTAGTGCAGGCTTGTGTAGGATAAAAGCTACAGTTGAATCACGGTCTCTTGCATTACACGCAGTGTGAGTGACAGATTAGGATGATGCGTGCTGTGTGTGTGTGTGTGTGTGTGTGTGTGTGTGTTAAACCCATGTCTCCCCACTTTTCTTTTCAGGCCCAAAAGGCAGATGGTGCCTGCAGTTTGCAATGACATGTCCTACAGTTGGGTTGTGCTTGTTTTTCTTCCTCTTCAGAAGGTAACAGGCAGTGCAACTTACCTTGAGTTCACCTTTGTAAAAGCAGGCCTAGCCACCCCCCCTTTCCTCGGCCATGCACACTTGCCACCTGCCTTAACTCTAACTCCAAATCTGTAGCACAGACAGGGGGACAAGTTGGTTTACAAGCTACCATTTCAGTGGGAGGGGGCTAGCCCCCACTGTACCTGTGAGCTCCCAGCTGTAGGGCCCTGGCTGCTGCATTTAGCCTCCATGAGCAGCCAGCTGATGCATGTTAATAAACTGAAATGTGTCTAGCCCCTGCCAGGTGCTGGGCTGTATGGTCAGCACTGAGAACAGGGTCAGTCTCTGTCAATACAATTCACAGACCATTGACTCTTTGTACATTTAATAGAGAGACATTTTGGGACGTGTCTACACAGCCATGTGAGCCCAGGCTCCAGCCTAATCTTCCTCTTGCATGATCCACGTACCAGTGGTGCTAAGCAAGGGCTTGGCCCTAGGGTCCAGGAGCCTGGAGGCTCGGAGACTGTTTTAAGGTGGGACCCAGGGTCTGACCCGTATTGCTTTCATGGGTCCATGCTGCCCCACCTTGACTCGGGTCCCCGATGGCCTCTCAATGTATCCCAGCATTCCGGGTGGCAGAGAAGCAGTGCTTAGCTCTCTCCCTCCCCCTCCCCCCCTGGGGGTTCCTGGGCAGGGGTACCCGCTAGCATGCACTGAGGGCAGTGAGTGGGATCCAGCCTCAAAACTTCCCCATACCCTCCAGGGGGGCTGGGATAAGGGGTCCCATGGGGGGTGCTAGGGATGCAGTTTGCTGTTCCGTAGCCGGCAGCAGTCAGGCTGGGGTGTGCGGGTGTGTTTTTCCTCTGAAACCTACATGTTACGTCAAACTGCAAAACAGACAGATTAAAAAAAAACAACCAAATACCTTCCCTAAACATCCCATTTTAAAAACTAAGTCTTGCGAAGATTCACTGGAATAGTCTGACAGCCCTGGAGACGGCTGTGCTAATTATCCTCAGAACAGGGGCATTTTCCTGACATTGTGACTCAGCCTAGCGTTGGAGACCCCAGTTCTCAGGTTAGATGGTAGTTCAGCGTAAAGCCTTCTCTCACACCAGTCCTTCTCCTGAGCCAGCCCCCACAGGCGCTACTTACCTAGCTTGTGTCCCTGTGCTCCTTATGAACTAGCTGATCTCTGGATACCCACAAGGAACAGCTCTGTTGAGGGAGGACAAAACACTCCACTTCCATCATCCCTTCTGGCAGTAGCGTGGCACTTCAAAGGCCCACTTCATTAGTCACGGCAGTGAGGTCTCAGTCCCGAGAGCTGCCTTTAATAGACTCAAAATATTGCAGGGCAGTTATGGGAAACTCATGTGCCTGCACTCAGTATGTTTTCTGCTTGTTTCCTTTACTTCCTGTTTGGATTACACACACTTGGGCCTGGATCATGAAACCTGCTACTTAAACTGAAGCTTGTAATACAAAAGGCATAAATTAAACCCCAGGTGAGGAGTGGCTTCGGCATCCTGCCCCCGCATTTGTTAAACTTTTGAATACCTTATTTTTTTATTGCAGTTGTAGCTTACTTCAGGACTTCGATGCATGGTTTATCCCTGTCCTATAAGATACATTTGCATGCTAGGATCTCTAAATCTGTATTTATTCATGCCATATCTAAGCAAATAAATTCCTCAATTTCTTCTGCACTGGGACGATCGCTGCTGCCTAAAGCCTGGGCTATGTTCTGTTTCAGATATTTTCCCATCACGTTTGCCCCTTGCCGCAAACGAGATTGCAATCAAGCTTTTTGCTTCCTATACTGAGCTCCTGAAGGCTTCCTCGGGGGCATCTTTTATTTTCTACAGGGGAAAATAGACAGTATTAGAGAGAAGAAAAGTCTATGTTCCGCAGTCTTAGAAAGTCACCAAACATTACGTGTAAAGCGCAGCAAGAGAAGTAACAGCATTTCTTTTATATTGCTGTGTAGATAGGAGTTCGATAGAGATCTCTGGTGTCTCATTAAATAGGTCCTTTATTAGTCACTACTTACGCTCTTCAAATATTAAAACACAAGTACACTTTCACAATTACACAATAAAACAAGGTTCACAATATCGCAGCTGGGCTCTCACTTCACTTGACTTTGTTCTGATATCTCACTGACTGCCTGGCGACGCCTGCCCTGCCCCGATGGGTGGTGGGTGAACCGCTAGCTGTGGGAGGCTAGCCCCTGGCCAGGCCTGCCCCTCCCGCCATCTACCCCCAGCGGAGCCCCTGCCCTCTCCCTCCTTGCTGCCGCCCGCCCCGGCCCCTGAGCACCAGGTGGGTGGGTGGGCAGCGCAGTCCCCAGTGCCCCCAGTCCCCCTGAGCACAGGGCAGGCAGCCCAAGCACCAGGCAGCATGCCCCAGCGCCCAGGGTCCCCCCACATCCCGGCCACAGGCCAGCAGCAGCTGCCCCAGACGGGCTTTCCAGAAGACGAGAAGTCAGCCTGGGCTGGGGCCAAGGGGGAAGGGCAAGCAGGAGGAGGCCTTGGCACAGAGCGTGGGCGGGGCCATGCTGGGCTGTTTGTGGAGGCACAGCCTGCCCCCCCCCATGATATGTGCCGCCCATGTTGCCCCTTATATACCTGTGGGGGCATGGCTGACAACAGTCTAGGAGGTTCAAGGAAAATGTGGTTCTGAGGAAGTCTGGAAGGTTCCACGAGATTCTACAAAGGTCCAGAACATTCTAGGAGATTGGTGAAAAATGAACCCACGTACAGAAGACCTGAAACATTTCACTTCACACATTCTATTTTCCCTTTTGTCACTAACAACTAAAAAAGCACTCGGAGCCCGGCGCCCCCCGCCAAGCCTAACACCTCAGGTGGTCACTTGGGTCGCCTGCCCCTAAATCCAGCCCTGCTCTCCATGCCTCTGTGCAAAGAAGTGAATGAATGCTAGAAATCAGCAGCGTACCCGATGTAAACGCTGAAGCTGAGAAGGTGCTGATTACGTAGAGATACAATAACTAGACACCAATAACCCCGGTCGTTTTCTGAACCCTCTGTCGGTAATATCTCTGGCCAAGAATTGCCTGTGCTGGTGGCTAAAGTTAAGCTCCCTACTTAGGCTCCTAACTAAGCACATGCATATTCAAAAGTACTGCGCACCCTGCATCTCCCAAGGACATGGCGTTAGGCTTCTAAGTCACTTGGCCCAGAACCTCAAAGATTTTTAGGCTCCAAGCCGCCACTGAGAATTTTGAAAATTTTACCCAAAGTAATTTAGGCAAATAGGAGCCTAAATCCCACTGACTTCCAATGAGCTGGAGGGTCCTAAGTCACATAGGTGCTTTTGAAGATTTTATCTGCCACCTCCTGTTAACTGTCTAAGTCACCATGGCCAGGCAGTAATGTGCAAATCATCAATAATGCCACTCTTGCTGTGCTTACACAGAAATATCCACCTCGTGTCCAGCGCCCACCAGAAATGGCTGCAGTTCCAGCTACTGGGTACCAAATTCTCATCAGCCCCCGCTGCTGCAGCAGGAGGGTCCATCGGCACAGAGGCAGGGAGAGGTCCTTGCTGCTATTAGCCTGGCTCAGCACAGTGCCCCTTCCTGCCAGCCTTGGCCTCTCGCTGGCAGGGGCTCCTCTCTGCCAGTGCTGCACTGCCCGCGTCCGTGTTGGTAGGGGCTGTATCTGCCCGGCCTGCTGTGGCCGGGCTATAAGTCTGAGTCGCAGGGCAGGGAGCGGCTGAAGCTTCTTTCTCCCTCCAGCACATCCACGGGGTTGCTGAAGGACTTGGGAGCTGGCTTCTGGCTACGGGGCATGGAGTCTCTGGAAGATACGGTGGCGGGGCCCGGCTGGCTGCGGTGGGGATATTTGGTAGTTGTCTTCTTTCTCCTGCACTCCTGGCAGCCCTGGTGGAGGCTGAGTGCCAGGGAGAAGCCCCCGATGAGCTCCAGGCAGCTGCCCAGATAGCCCAGCACCAGGCTGTAGCCCACCTCCAGGGTGCTGCCTGCGGGCGCCGGCAGGGCGCTGAGGTAGTGGTTGTACCACGAGACAGGGATGAGGCTCATCAGCCCGGAGGCAAAGAATATCAGGCCAGAGAGGCCTGCCAGCAGGTAGTGGGGCTCTTCCTGCCAGCAGCGCACCCCCAGAGCCGCCACCACCAGCCCCACCACAGTCACAACCAGCGAGGAGACCATCAGCCCCTTGGCCACCTGCACCGGCTGCGTGGGGAAGTAGCTGAGTTCATCAGCCAGGCCGCACTGGCGCTGGCTGGTGCTCTGGGTCTCTTGGCAGAGCTCCCAGATGCCCTGCTGATAGACCACGTCAATGGGCTTGCCGGATATTCGGCTCACCTGCCTCCAGCAGGGAGTCAGCGTGCTGACCAGGTTCAGCAGCAAGCCGCAGGGGCTCAGCACCAGGCCCACGATCATCACCGACGGCGTCCGCATGTTGCAGGGCCCAGGGAGGAGGCGGGAATGGAACCACCGGCCCGGCTGCGCTGGGGAGAGGAGAGCCCAGTCACCGCGGTGGAAGGAGCAGTGCTGCTTCAGAGGCAGATAGAGTCGTGTCCGTCCTCCCCAGCTGCTGTGGTCTGCCCAGCGCAGGGCCCTGCCTCCTGCTTGGCCCCAGCGCCTGCCCTGCCCGCACAGCCCAGTGCTGTTCGCCCCTGCGCAAGCCCTCACCTGCTGGGTTTGCCAGCCCGGTCGCAGGGGGCATCGGCCGTATGGCTTCCTCTTTGCTCTGTCCCCAGCAGAAGGAAACTGGCTGCTCTGACCGAAACTGCTGCATGTACAGAGAAACCCAGCCCGGCTGCCAAACAAGTTCTGGGTGGTATTTTATGGGAGGGGAGGGGAGGGGAAGGCAGGGCTTCCCTACCCCTGCAGGTGAAACAGTAACCAGGAAGGAGCCCTAAAGGCTGACAATGATCACTGGGCAGGTGGGGATTGGTATGAAGTGACTGCAGAAAAGCCCTTTGCTGCTCCCAGCCTGTGCGTGGCTGGTTTCAATGGTGCTGAGCAAAGGTCTGCGCTCGGTCCCTGAGCAATAACAGTGACACAGCCGCCCTGAAATCAGAGCTTGGGATGGCCGCATGGCCTGGATCTGCCTGGGCAGGAAATGTTACCCCCCCTCACCTGCCCTCCCAGGGGAACATCGGGGCACGTGCGGGGGTGCCCAGGCCAGTGGTGGGGCCCGGATCCAGCTGGTGCACACACCGGGGAGGGCAATAGAGGACTGTATCCCTTCCGCTGTGGGTAGAGCAACACGCCACCCACGTTAGAGCAGACGCTTGCTCGCAGATGTAAAAGGGCCCTTGTCCAGGGGTCTGCGTGGCTATACCGGATTTACAGGTGTACGAGCCCAGCTCTGTACAGGCTGTCTGGCCTCGGTGCCGCTGTTCCCACTCTTATCTTACCAGGCCAAGAGCCTTAGGCTCTCCACTCGGTGGGAAGCCGCTGCCGTGCGTAGCCAGGCAGAGCACCCGGCACTGCCACTGACATCAGGGGGCGCTGCTGGGCGTGCTGCACCTTGCAAAACAAGCGGCCCGTGCAGGAGCCTCAGTAAGGATTTGGGGGCAGGGCCGGCTCTAGGCACCAGCAAACCAAGCACGTGCTTGGGGCGGCACATTTTCAGGGGTGGCATTCCAGCCATCTTTTTTTTTTTTTTTTTTGCTTCGGGCAGCAAAAGCCTAGAGCCGGCCCTAGCATCAGCAGCGCATCGTGCGCTGGCGGTGCCCTGGGGCCGCTGCGGTTCGCACCACCAGCCGCGGGAGAGCAGCGCCCACACCTTGTGGCTGGGCCGGGCGGGGGACACTCTGGCTGGAGGCCGCCCTGCGGGGCACACGGAGCTGCCTGCAGGTGCCGCAGAGCGGACGCCCCCCAGCCGGGGCTGGGCGAAGCGGCCCGAGCCGCCCAGGGATTGCGGCAGGGCGGTCAGAAGCAGCAGTGGGGCCATAGAGGGAGGGGCGCTGCCGTGCAGGGCCCGCGTCCCGCTCTCTGGGGCTCCGCTCCCTCTGGGGCTACCCTGCCCCGGCTCCTCAGCCCCCTGCCAGGGTCGTCCCCCGGCTCTGCCCTCCCGGGTTCCGGCCGGTCCTGGAGGCGGGAGCCCCGGCTGGAGGGACCCTGGGCTGAGGCGCAGCCCGGGAGCCCCGCTGCTTACCCCGACCCTGCCAGCGCCGGACCGGCTGGAGGCGAGGGGGGAGTGGGCGGAGTCAGCATTGGTGGGGGGGAGCCCAGCGCTGGGGTGGTAGGGGGTGCGGGTGGGGTGGGGTGGTAGGGAGAGCCCAGGGCTGGGGCAGCAGGGGGGGCAGGTGGGGGGGGGGGGGAGAGCCCAGGGCTGGGGTGGGGGGGCAGCCAAAAATGTTTTTGCTTGGGGCGGCAAAAGACCTAGAGCCAGCTCTGTTTGGGGGGTGTCTACACTGCAACTAAAAACCCGCGGCTGGCCCGGGCCAGCTGACTCGGGCGCACGGGGCTCAGGCTCAAGGGCTGTTTAATTGTGGTGTCAGCATGCGGGATCCTCCCACCTCGCGGGGCCTACAGCCCCAGCTCCAGCCCGAGCCTGGAAATCTCCACAGCAACGACACAGCCCCGCAGCCCGAGTCGGCTGGGACGAGCCAGTCACGGGCATCTAGCTGCTGTGCAGACATCCCCTTGGAGCAGAGGTGGGCAAACTACGGCCCACGGGCCACATCCGGCCCACGGGACCGTCCTGCCCGGCCTCCGAGCTCCTGGCCCGGGAGGTTACCCCCGGCCCCTCCCCTGCTGTCCTCCCTCCCTCGCAGCCTCAGCTAGCCCCGCCACCGGCGCAATGCTCTGGGTGGCGGGGCTGTCAGCTCCTGGGGCAGCACAGCTGCAGAGCCCGGCCTGACCCGGTCTCTGTGCTGCGCGGTGGCGGCGGTGGCAGCATGGCCCGGCTCCAGCCACCGGTACTCCAGGCAGTGCGGTAAGGGGGCAGGGAGCAGGGGGGTTGAATAGAGGGCATGGGAGTTTGGGGTGGTGGTCAGGGGGCGGGGGTGTGGATAGGGGTCGGGGCGGTCAGAGGGCGGGGAACAGAGGGGTTGAATGGGGGCAGGAGTCCCAGGGGGCAGTCAGGAGGGGAGGGGTTGGATGCGGCAGCGGGGGGCAGTCAGGGGTGGGGGTTCTGGGTGTGGTCAGGTGACAGGGAGGGGTGGATGGGGCAGGGGTCCCAGGGAGCCATCAGGGAACAGGGGGGTTGGATGGGACAGGAGTCCTGGGGGTGGGCCGTCAGGGGGCGAGAAAAGGGGGGGGCAGATAGAGGAGGGGGCCGGGCCACACACCCCTCCCCTAACCGGCCCTCCATACAATTTCCAAAACCTGATGCAGCCCTCGGGCCAAAAAGTTTGCCCGCCCTAGGGTGACATGATATCCCAATTTTATAGGGACAGTCCCAATATTTGGGGCTTTGTCTTATATAGGCACCTATTACCTCCCACCCCATGTCCCGATTTTTCACACTTGCGGTTTGGTCACCCTAGCCCACCCCTGCCTTGGAGTATCTCCCATTAATCGTGGGCGAACGTGTCTGTCCTTTAGGGAGAGCTGTGGGAAGGCCGTGGAGGATTAGCAGCACTGGAATGATTTTTAGCCTGTGTCCTGGAAAGTGGGCGGGGTCCAGCCCGAGTTAAAACAGAGCCAGGCTGTAATCCTCCCGCCCCAGCTGGGTCGGCCCAGGCAGAGAGCACTTCCAAACCTGGGGGAGAGGTTTTCCTGGGTGATGGTGGGAGGGGCTAAAACCTGGCTAAGGGCCTTGGCTAACTGTGGCCACACCCTGGCTCTCATCAGCCCCAGCCGCCGGCTGGTTTCCCAGCATGAACGTTTCCTCATTGCTGGCTGAGAGTGGGTGGTTAACGAGGCCTCAGAGCAATGTCCACCTGGCCCAGGGCACTAGCCTAGGGCATTGCATGACAGAGCTGTGTAGCGTTTCTATTGAACAGCTGGGCATTTCAGGGCAAACTAGCCCTCTCAATGGGTGAGCTCCTCAAATAATGCTCTGATGTGTCACATTGATAAGTGGGGCCTGTCTGACGTTACCTTATTGGAGAGGAGTCTAGGCTTATCCTCACTGCTAAAAAAGTGTGGTATTTACCTCAGGGACAGGATACAGCATAGTGAAGCAACCTCAGGCAGGGGCATAGGGCTGACCTCAGCGAGTTTACCTGGTGGTAAAACTAAAGTTCCTGGTCTTCACTGTGTTTTTACCGCAGGAACATTCCTACACGTCGCCTGAGGCCGTGGTTCTCAGCCAGGGGTACACGTCCCCTGGGGGCACGCCGAGGTCTTTCAGGGGGCACATCAACTCATTGAGATATGAGTTTTGCCACAGGCTACATAAAAAACACCAGTGAAGTCAGTACGCACTAAAATGTCATACGACTTGTTTATACTGCTCTACATGCTATACACTGAAATGTAAGTACACTATTTATATTCCAATTGATTTATTTTATAATTATGGTAAAAATGAGACAGTCAGCAATGTGTCCGTAATAGTGTGCTGTGGCACATTTTTATGTCTGATTATTGTAAGCAAGTAGTTTTTAAGTGAGGTGAAACTTGAGGTATGCAAGATAAATCGGACTCCTGAAAGGGGTACAGTAGACTGAAGAGGTTGAGAGCCACTGTCCTGAGGCATCCAGCAGTGATTTTTAGCAGTGAAGACAAGTGAGTCCTAGACTCTCCCGATCAGGGATCCTGAGGGGACATAAGGGTTAAACTTAACAGAGGGTCCTGTGGCACCTTTAAGACTAAAGGTGCCACAGGACCCTCTGTTACTTTTTACAGATTCAGACTAACACGGTTACCCCTCTGAAGGGTTAAACTGAGTCCCTTGTTCTGGCTCTAAAATGTTTAGCAAACGTTGAGGAAGAAAACAACATCCTCATGCCTGGCTTCATCTGCTGCGTGGGTGTGTCTCAGCATAAGGAACGCAGACCCAAACACCCCTGCACCTAAACCCCAGCAGAGCAACCTATACTGGAGGGGACAGATCCCATCCCCTGACTGCTTAGAAACAGGAAGCTGAGTATTGTGTTTGGATTTTGCTTCTTGCTGGCTGGAATTCCAAGAGCTTCCTCTCTACCCATACATAGTTATTAAATTAATTGCCCCATGTGTGCTTATCCTAGCGTTAGGCATTTCACTTATTAAAAAAAAAAAGATTAAAAAAATCAGTTTGACCCAAAGTCAATTCCCTTCCCATCAACTAAAAAAATAAATCTCTTCTCAACCCCCCCGCACATATATGTCATTCATCCTCAAGATCTTAAAGCCCTTTACAACCGTATCCATGCAGTAGTGCTGGTATGCAGCCAACTCTGGGGTGGAGTGCTGCAGCCAGGTGGCACACCCCACGGCGCAGGAGGGGGTAAATGTTCAGCAAGGGACATCAGCACAAAGCCCTGCTCTTCCAGACAGGGGCACGGAGACCAGAC